ATGTTGCAGCTCTGGACCCATCGAATCTCCGAATTCTATCACACTCCATCCTAGCATCGTCGTTGAGAATGCCATCGGAAAATGGAATTTTACATTGTCGCCGGCGTCGTAGTATCCACCTGTCATGTCCATCTGAGTTTCCAATGCCACATACATGTCAATTACCAATTAATCTACTTGCTAATATTAAGGACCAGTTTACTATAAATTAAAAAAAAAGTTAAATAATTTAGCAATTATATTTTAGAGATTAAATTTAAACTAAATTTATTTTTACTTCCTTGAATTTAAATTTTGTATTTTAAGTCTACGTAACTTAAAAAAATTTGTTTTACTTGTCATATTCAATTTTTTTTTTAGAATATGTCTAATATTATCGTATAAAATTTATTTATTAATGTAGAACATAACATTAAATCTAATTAACACTATAAATCTAATTAATATTATATAATTATTAATAATAAATTTAAAATATAATTTATATGTTTAAAAATATATCTATTTATATAATTTTTAAAATAGTATTTATTTATATATAATTTATTATAAATTTTAATCATATAAATAAATATGCATGTACAGTGACTAAAATGCTAGTTATTTTTAAAAGGTGAGCAACTACAAAACTAAAAAGAAAAAAATGTTCTTCTACGGAGAAAAAAGATACTGAACTTTTCCTAAATTTTCCTTAAATTTATATATTTGTGTAAAATTATCTCTATTACTAATAAGTCATACCTTTTTTTTAATTGGATTTGATTTGGTTATTTTAATCTCTTGTTATTAATATACTTATTACTTTAATTTTTATTGATTGTTATATGAAACAATAAAATGGTATTTTCAAAATACTTTTCATACAAAGTGACAAAGTTAGATTTAATTTTCCTTTATTCCAAAAAGAGTCCGTGACATTAATATATTCTACCTCTATTTTTTTTTAGTTATTAATATATTTCACCTATTATTTATTAAACTCATAATTAAAGAATTACTAGGATTAGCCTAGTGGTTGGGTGAGGAAGGACTGTGATAGTTAGAAGCATAAGGAGCTAAGTTCAATTCTCATTGCGACCATCTTTGTAATCTTTCCTATCTTTACAAAAAAAAAAAACTCCTAATTAAAAGTATTTTTATAATAAAAAAATTAATGAAATGACTCATTTTATATTGATTTTTATTAAAAAAAGAAGAACCAAAATCTTTTAGCTAAAATTTATTAGAATTTTCTTTGTGTTTTTATTTAACAAGTCTCTCATAATATTTTTGTAATTTTTAATAAATTTTAATCAATAATAAAATATATATTAAAAAAGGCGTTATAGAATGTATTCTTAAACATAAGATTCTCTATTAATTATAAATCGTTTATACAAATCTATATAATAATATTTATAAATTATATATATAATATGTTATTAATATGAAATATCTAATATATCACTTTTATATAATTTTAGTATTTAAAATTATAATATAGTATTTTATATAAAACTTCAAGCGTGTGGTTCAGCGGTAGGGGTTGATCTACACATTAAGCAATGTCAGGTGTTCGAATCCTGCCTTGTGTATGCAGCCGAACCAAAAAAAAAAATCTTATTCTCTAAAAAATACATTATTTTTAAAAGTGGTGGTTGAATAATTTATAAAAAAAAATTAAAAAATCAATATTGCATTAAAAAGTGAAAAGATCGGTTATTTGAAGATACTTTTTAAATGTTAACTTTATAATTAATTTTAGATGAAAAGATTAAGATAAAGAGACATATAAAAAAATAATAAAAAAATATATTAAATAAATATTTATAATATCAAAATATTATTACAGAAAGAGTTCTCACATAAAAAAAAGAGAGATCTTCATATTAAATCTCACCCTCAATTTTATTAAATTATATTACTATTTTATAATATTAATATATTATATTAATAAATTATTGAATGCGATGAAAATTTCAATGGTGAGTTTTATACTTATATTTTTGTCTAGAGATATTAAAGTAAGTTAATTTGATTCATGACTCATCATAAGATGATGTTTTAAATGAGTCAATTCAATTCAGCGCACTTTTTAATGTGATAAAAAAATTTCAATCCAACTTGACACATCACAGGTTATTGGATTAGTTGAATTGGTTTACCAATTCTTTTTAAAATTAAAAAATTAATTACATGAGTTTTATTTTTAATAAATAAAATAAAAAAATTATAATATTTTATATCAAGAAATCAAGTTTATTATTGATTCAAATACAAATACATAAAAAAAATATCAATCAAAATTTTATATAAAAATTATATAAAACTTAAATATATATATATATATATATATATTTTAATAATGGATCAAATGATCAACCTAATTCACTTAAACTCGAATCCATTTGATTCATAAATTAAGTAACCCCAATTAAAATTTAGTTAAAATCAACAATTTTTTTTTCTAACCTAACTTATTTCGGACCCATGATGAGCAGAATTAATTAGTCATTTGACACCTCTATTTCTTATTATAATTTGCACAAGTTATTGATTACATCGGATTTCCTTTGTCCGTGCTGCTATTGTGAGGCAAGTACAATATTTATTATACTGATTTTTTTATTATATAAATTATTATGTTATTATTGGGAAGATGATACAAAAATTAAAATATCATTAATTAGGGAACTTACAAATAAAGATATATAACCACTAAATCATTGGTTAAAAAATATTAAATATATTTCAACATCGGTCTTTATATAATAGTTTAATTGATGTCTTATCTTTATATATATATATATATAATATAATGTAATATAGTATATTCTATAAAATGATTAAGTTTTAATTTTAGTTTGAAAAAATATTTATTTTTTATTTTTATAAAACTTGAAATGAATGTTTTTTTCTTCTTCTTATTATTATGTGATTTTCTTTAACTAATTGTGTTTATTTTTAAGGTTAATTAACAATTTTAGGTGGTATCCATAAATATGTATATAAATTAAAAAAGATAACATTATTTAATTATATTAATTTTATTTAATAAATATTTTTGTAAATTACTCTTTAATGAAACTTGGTATTGAAAATAAAACCTAGATTAAATGAAGTTTATTTCTGGAGATGATATAATTAATTGAAGTAATATATTAATTGAAATTTATCCTTGCAAAAAAAAAAGTTGAGATTTGTTTCTATTTTAAACCAATAAACATGTGATTTTTATTGTTAATATATTCTCACCTATTTTTTAGTTGGAGTATGTTAGTAACTTATACAAAAAATTTTAAGACCAGAAAATCACTCATTTCTTTTGATTTGGTTAATTTGTATAAAGGATATTATAGTAATTTAATTAAATTTTAAAAGAAAATAAAGTATTTTCTCTCTCTTATTAATTTCATTCTTCAATAAAATGATTAAGTTTTAATTGTAGTTTGAAAAAATATATTTATTTTTATAAAACTTTAAATTAATTTTTTTCCTTATTATTATGTGATTTTCTTTAACTAATTGTGTTTATTTAAGGTTAATTAAAAATTTTAGGTGGTATCCATAAATATTTATATAAATTAATTCATATAAATTAAAAAAAGATAACATTATTTAATTATATTAATTTTATTTAAGAAATATTTTTTTGTAAATTACTCTTTAATGAAACTTGGTATTGAAAATGAAACTAATTAAAGTAATATATTAATTGAAATTTATCCTTGCAAAAGAAGTTGAAATTTGTTTCTATTTTAAACCAATAAACATGTGATTTTTATTGCTTATATTTGTAACTTTATTAAAGGAGAATAATTATAATTTTTAAAATAATTATCATAAAAATCAATAAATTTAACATATACAATAATTTGTAAATGAATAACAATATAAAAATTATTCATATTATTAATATGAAGAAGGATTCTTTTACTCCAGGAGTAAGTCTATCCGTTCAATAACTCATATTCTACATAAAATTTTAATGATTCAACTATTGAATTTAAAATTTTTAATATACAAATCAAGTCTGCAAATTTTTAAAAAAATTAAAAATCATTTGATATTTCATTTTATTAATTCAAATCAATATATAAAATAATTTTATAATTATTTATTAATTTGAATTAATGAAATGAAATATCAAATAATTTTTAAATTTATATATATATATATTAAGAAGTTTAAATTTAAAAATTTGATGTAAAATATAATTTATTGAATAAAGTTGAAGTATATTACTCATAATTTACTTTAAATTTATTATTGATACATATAATATATTCAACTAATTACGATCATTCAATGACGGCCTAATTAAGCACAAGCCGATATGACGTCAGTCCATGGCGCTATTTTCGAAAGAGTACCAAAAAAAATATTTAGTCTGAATAATATAAATAAAATTATATACTTAAATAATTAAAAAATCATTATAAAAAATAAATTAAATACAACTAATTAGTTAACAATCAATTTTTTATCAGTCAACAATATTTACCAATAATTAAAAAATAAACTGATAATATTATATATAAAGAAGAAAACGTGACATGTTATTAATTTTTTGCGTTATAAACTTATATAAATATTAACATAAAATTATAAATAAAAATTAATTAATTAATTTTTTATTTAACATTAATTTCTTTCTATTTTTTAAATTATAATTTATCTTATTTTGTTGAAATTTTAAAATTAAATTATAAATCTTCACTTTTCTTGCAAACTATTTTGTGATATATTATTTATATTTATTCATTTTTTAATTTGAAAATAGAGATTATAACTAATTTTCAAATACTTATTAAGATGTTACTTTTTCAGTACTTCACCTAGCTCGGATTACTCTTAATTTACTTTGATAAATATAACTAACACATATGTGTACACACATATATTTTAAATATCATATTATATTATATGCTATAAAAAAAATAAAAATAAAAAAAACACTTTAATCACGTTTTTCTGCGGTGCGATGAAGGCTGGGTCTGTGAGCATGAAGGCTCTGCCGGCAACGATCCCGCTATCAGGAGTACGAAGAAGGTGAAAACGAAGGCTGATGGTTCAGAGGGTTTTGGTGGAAAAGACGTGAGTATGGAAGAGAAGGTTTCCGCTTCAGGATCTGCCTCAGATCCTTCTAAATCCTATATGGAGAGTCTTCTCTCGGAAAGTAGAGGGAAAATTTTTAACGACTTTTCTAGCCTGATCAGAGAGATGGAATGCCCGGAAGACGACTATTATAATGATCAAGATGATATTGTTGATGATGATTCTAATCTGGATCCTTGCCCCAAGATCCATGTTACTCAAGAAGAATTTGAGGAGTGGTGTGCTCCGTGGAAAAGCTCTCTTGTCATTCACGTACTAGGTAAGCGTGTGGCATTCCGAATGTTGGACAACAAAATCCAGCGAGAATGGGCTAAAACGGGGTCAGTGAGATTGATAGACCTATCACAGGATTATTACCTGGTCCAATTTGCTTCTGAAGAGGATTACAAGCATGCATTATTTGAAGGGCCTTGGCTTATTGCTGACCACTACATAGTCGTTCAAAGGTGGAGACCCTTCTTTACAGTGACTGCCAAACAGACGCGCAAGATTGCTGCTCGGATCCGTATCCCAGGGTTGCCAATTGAACTTTTCAACGATAGATTTCTTTGGCGAGTGGGGAGTAAACTAGGAACGATGTTAAAAATTGATAAGCTAACATCTATACAGTCCCGTGGACGATTTGCAAGAATCTGTGTGGAGATTGATCTAAAGAAAAAACTAGTCCCGCAGATAGATGTTTTAGGCCATATTCTCAAGTTAGAATATGAAGGTCTGCATTCCATCTGCTTCAAGTGTGGGAAGTATGGCCACAAACAATCTTCATGCCCACAATTTCAAAATGGTGATGACAAGGAAGAGAGCAAGAATCAGACGCTAATGGACGTTGATAATGCTACAACAAAAATAGCTAATCAAGACAGCAGCCATAACGAGATTCCTAAACATGTGGAGGAGATTATTCCCAATCAAAATGAACCTGAGTCTAAGGATCAATATGGCCCTTGGATGATTGTGAAGAGAAAGAAAAAATCCTTTAACTCAAGGAATCCTTCTCAAGTGGCAACAACAAACACAAATACCAGATTGGCTTCAATCTCAAGAAGGAAGGATCGCCCATGTCTTCTGGTCTCTCCCAACACCCGTGATCGGAATAAGGATCGCCCACTTGTGCCACAACTATGTTAGCAATTTTTGTTGCTTTCAGAAAATAATCACTTCCCCAATGAATTGCATCCAATGCATGTTGCAGCTCTGGACCCATCGAATCTCCGAATTCTATCACACTCCATCCTAGCATCGTCGTTGAGAATGCCATCGGAAAATGGAATTTTACATTGTCGCCGGCGTCGTAGTATCCACCTGTCATGTCCATCTGAGTTTCCAATGCCACATACATGTCAATTACCAATTAATCTACTTGCTAATATTAAGGACCAGTTTACTATAAATTAAAAAAAAAGTTAAATAATTTAGCAATTATATTTTAGAGATTAAATTTAAACTAAATTTATTTTTACTTCCTTGAATTTAAATTTTGTATTTTAAGTCTACGTAACTTAAAAAAATTTGTTTTACTTGTCATATTCAATTTTTTTTTTAGAATATGTCTAATATTATCGTATAAAATTTATTTATTAATGTAGAACATAACATTAAATCTAATTAACACTATAAATCTAATTAATATTATATAATTATTAATAATAAATTTAAAATATAATTTATATGTTTAAAAATATATCTATTTATATAATTTTTAAAATAGTATTTATTTATATATAATTTATTATAAATTTTAATCATATAAATAAATATGCATGTACAGTGACTAAAATGCTAGTTATTTTTAAAAGGTGAGCAACTACAAAACTAAAAAGAAAAAAATGTTCTTCTACGGAGAAAAAAGATACTGAACTTTTCCTAAATTTTCCTTAAATTTATATATTTGTGTAAAATTATCTCTATTACTAATAAGTCATACCTTTTTTTTAATTGGATTTGATTTGGTTATTTTAATCTCTTGTTATTAATATACTTATTACTTTAATTTTTATTGATTGTTATATGAAACAATAAAATGGTATTTTCAAAATACTTTTCATACAAAGTGACAAAGTTAGATTTAATTTTCCTTTATTCCAAAAAGAGTCCGTGACATTAATATATTCTACCTCTATTTTTTTTTAGTTATTAATATATTTCACCTATTATTTATTAAACTCATAATTAAAGAATTACTAGGATTAGCCTAGTGGTTGGGTGAGGAAGGACTGTGATAGTTAGAAGCATAAGGAGCTAAGTTCAATTCTCATTGCGACCATCTTTGTAATCTTTCCTATCTTTACAAAAAAAAAAAACTCCTAATTAAAAGTATTTTTATAATAAAAAAATTAATGAAATGACTCATTTTATATTGATTTTTATTAAAAAAAGAAGAACCAAAATCTTTTAGCTAAAATTTATTAGAATTTTCTTTGTGTTTTTATTTAACAAGTCTCTCATAATATTTTTGTAATTTTTAATAAATTTTAATCAATAATAAAATATATATTAAAAAAGGCGTTATAGAATGTATTCTTAATTAACCTTGTTTCTTTAAGAACTAAATAGATTTAAGTTTAACATGAAATTTAAAATAATAAAAATAAAATAAAATAAAAACTAATTCATGAAATATTAGGAGATTTAGTTTCTCCATTTGGAAATTGATGCGACTATAAATAGCAAGATATATTAATGATAAATTACGAGTTATATATAAATTAGTATTTTAGTTTTTCTAATACAAATTCAAAATATTATTATATATAACGAAATTTATAATAAATTATATATATATATATATATATATATTTGAATATGTATAAATTATATTTAAAATTTATAATAAATCATTTATATTATACCATGATATTATTTTTATTTATTTAAAAATATAAAAATTAATTTATAAATGATTATAATAAATAAATAAAAAATGACATAAAAGTTAAAAAAATAGTTGTTGAAAAATTTGGCATATATGGAGAGGGAATAAAATTACTCGAATATCGGAGCCATCAGAAAGTGCAGAGTCTTTCCGCCATGTCATGCGTTGAGAAGGTGGCAACTTGCCGGACCTCTGGCCTTCAAAAAACAAAATGCTCTTTCCTAATGCCTCTGCATAGTTAATTGACACTGCACTTGTCACTCTGCTCATCAACATCATAATCATTGTCACTAACAATGTTGTTTTTGACATCATAGTTACGCTCTTTCCTCTCATATTTTACCAACTTATCTATTTTCTCAATCACAACGTTAACTGTGCTTTCACTCACCTCTGCAACACCTATAAATAGCCATACACATACCGAAACGTGTTGTACAATTAGCGTAATGTTTTGTATACATAAGGAAAAATATTAATGGAAACCAAACCTAAATCCACGTTTGGACAAATAAACAATTTTAATTTTATCCTATCACTAGTATCTCACTTCACTAAAATAACTGAGATGCAATATTTTTTACACATCATGATACAGATTAAACATAAGATTCTCTATTAATTATAAATCGTTTATACAAAGGCTGATCGTAAACACAAATACAGAAGATAAATCTATATAATACTATTTATAAATTATATATATAACATGTTATTAATATGAAATATCTAATATATCACTTTTATACACTTAAATAATTAAAAAATCATTAGAAAAAATAAATTAAATACAACTAATTAGTTAATAATCAACTTTTTATCAGTCAACAAGATTTACCAATAATTAAAAAAATAAACTGATAATATTATATATAAAGAAGAAAACGTGATATGTTATTAATTTTTTGCGTGTGTAAACTTATATAAATATTAACATAAAATTATAAATAAAAATTACTTTATTTATTTTTTCTTTAACATTAATTTCTTTCTATTTTTTAAATTATAATTTATTTTACTTTGTTGAAATTTTAAAATTAAATTATAAATCTTCACTTTTCTTACGAACTTTTTTGTGATATATTATTTATATTAATTCATATCTCTATTACATAATTGTCTCTAAGAATTATCTGGTATCGTACAAATAGGCATGATGTTTAATTATTTTTTATGTAATTATGTATTTAACTGTTTATATATTTTCATTTTTAATTTGAAAATTGAGATCATAACTAATTTTCAAATACTTATTAAGGTGTTATTTTTTTAAGTACTTCACCTAGCTCGGATTACTGATATTTTACTTTGATAAATATAACTAACACATATGTGTACACACATATATTTTAAATATTATATTATATTATATGTTATTTTTAAATATTATATTATATTATATGCTAAAATAACATGATGTGATGAACTATCAAATTAATTTTAAAATTATATGAAATTTTGTATACTTGATACAAGTAAAAACATATACAATAATTGAATCAATTAAATTTATATTATAAATTAAATTATTAAATATACAATTTCAATAATTTTAGATTTCACTCTTCTAAAATTAGAGAATTACACTTAATTTTATATAATAACCATTAATTAAAAAATAATGGTTAATAATATAATTAATTTTATATTTTATTCCGCAAAAATTAGTTTTCTCACAATTCTCGATCAGTGATTTTTTAATTAAGATTTGTATGTATATTTTATCCTTTAAAGTACATTCTCTCATTTTAAAATAAATAAATCTTATTATTTCATAATTATATATAAATATTATCACTTAGAGCATTTTCAATGTTAAGTTCTTATCCGATTTTTAAGTTTAAGTTTTCATTACTTATAAGAAATCTGCATTGGAGCATGCTAACATGACAGGTCAAATTGCTAAAATTTAAGCATCGTTGCTTATATAAGAGACGGTTGCTTAAGAATAAAAAAATAATTTAATATTTCCTTCTTTGACTGATGCCAACAACTATAATAATTAAATTTTTAAAATTTATTAAAAATAAAGTATGAGTGATTAAAAAGTGGAGGTGCTTATAAACAACTTTCATTGGAGTAAAAATTATAAAAATGTAATATAAGTTGCTTATGAGTAACATGACAATGTATAATTCATTTAAAGTGAATGAGAGTTGTTTATAAACAACTTTCATTATAGTTTTATAGATGCTCTAAATAAATTTAATAACTATTTTAAACTGCCTTGGTCATTTATGTAAGTGACAGATTACAATTTTAGAAACTTCTTCGTAACTTTATTTAATTCAAATATTAATGTGACAAAACTCATTGACTAGCAATAATAATATATGTATTTGTGGAATTAATCAATATTTATATAAGCAATAAAAATATTAAACTAATTCCTTAAAGACATATATTATTAAAGTAGTATTATTTATGGTAATTATTATATGCATTTTTTGTTCTCTTTTATGGGCCTTTCTGAGAGAGGCTTTTGCACATGTTCTATGTGCCCAAAATGGGTCGTTCTAGATTCGGAATGGGCCATTCTGGCCAAATACTGATGCCTATAAATGCGTTCCGACACTCCAGAAAAAGGCATTTTTCTTCTACACTTTCTGGAGACCAAGGGGAACCTGGAGGAGGAGATCCTGCTTCAGTTTCAACCCCTGTTTATCGAGGTAAGGGGGGAGTGAGAAACCTCGCTCTGGGTGTGGGATTGTATGCTGGGTAGTGGGATTGGCCCCCAATCCTGTGTTTGTTGTATGTGATATTTTTCTTGTATGTTCCAATTACTTAATTAATATGTGTGTATGAATAGAAACTTTGTTTAGGCTATGATTGTGGAATTTGGTGCTCCTATGGGTTCCTACGGGAAACCCTAAGGGAGTGCATTGGTGCTTGTATGAGTAAATT